AGTTCCAATGCAGCAGCTTGAATGGTCCCTTTAAAGTTTGGCTTAGGGCCTGGTGCAGTAGCCTAAGTGGCAAAAGTCCTCGCCTTGCATGTGCTGGGATCCCATATGGGCACCAGCTCATGTTTTGGCTGCTCCACTTCCCATCCAGCTCCCTGTGTATGGCTTTGGAAAGCAGTTTGCTACACATACTGGCAAACAAGGGTAGGGGGCGGGCCTGGTGGGGGTTATTGTGGGTCGTTCCAACTAGGCTGCAGCTCCCACTGGTTTATGCGAGGGCTGAGAGTATGTGATGGGCAGAATCAGGCTGGGCTGCAACACCCATTGGTTCCAGTGGAAGTTGGGGCTGAAAACAGAACTAACCCAGTGATTGCAACCACCAGCTGATGGGGTGATGGACTCTTCCAGGCCCTGTGCTTGCTGGTACATACAAGAATCTGGGAACACCTCAGACAAAGTTTCTTTGGGGATCTCCCCAATCTAAATGCTGGACTCAGAACCCTAATCAAGAAAAGACAGAAGTCAGAACAAGTCAATCAACCACCTCAGCTATATGTTGGCAGCGAAATACTGGGCAAACGGAGACTATGATGGATGATGAACTATATCAGTTAGTGGATGCTTCAACAACGTCATAGTGCTTGGAGTGGCGAGATTGGCAGCGATTCATAACTGGTGAACTATCAAAACCACTTGAGCAAGAATCTTGGAGCATGCCCCACGTCGGGGACCTGGGGTGGGTGGGTAACTGGGTGGGCCTTCCCCCTTAATATCCTCCTTTAAACATGAAGGAAACAATATGGAAATAATGGTATTACCCACTTTCCTGTAGCCCTCGAACCATTTTACCCTAATTAACTATGTAAAGATAGTCAAAAATATAATAAAAACAATTATTAAAAAAAAAAAAGGAAAGCAGTTGAGGACCGCCCAAAGCTTAAGGACCTTGCACCCACGTGGGAGACTCCGAAGAAGCTCCTGGCTCCTGCCTTCAGATCAGCTCAGCTTCGGCTGTTGCAACCACGTGGGGAGCAAGCCAGTGGATAGAAGATCTTTCTTTCTATAAGTCTGACTTTCCAATAAAAATTAATGAATCTTTTAAAAAACTGTTTGGCTCAACAATGAAGATCCCCATGAGGGATGTGCGCATGCCGTGCTGGAGTGCTGGGATGTGGGGACTGGCTCTGCTCCCGATTCCCTGCTGCCTGCTTGGGTGCGCTGCACACGACAGCAGTGAGGGCTCACACAGCTGGGTCCCTGGGAGACCAGACTGAGGTCCCCGATCCTGGCTTTGGCCTGGCCCAAAGCCCTGGATCCCTGGTGAGCATTTGGTGAGGGAACCCATAAACAGAAATTACACACATACCTGCCCATCTCTTTAGCAAAAAAAAAAAAAAATGTTTAAAATCCCCAAACTTAGAAGCAGTACTGAATCTAGTCTCGCTGCCTCTTCTGCTTGGGGTCTAGCCCTGGCTCTCAAATGACCCAGAGAAAATCCACAGACCTTAGGGGGGATGACAAATGCCCACAGCATCTGTGCCAGAGGCCTCCAAGCCGCCGCAGCGCTCCGGCCAGACACTGGCTGCCCCAGGGCTTTGTGCCGGCTTGACCCCGCTGCCCTGATGTTGCTCTGACACATTCACCTGACTTCTCTCCCCCCTCCCATCTCTGGTCATGAGTCCCTCCCTGGCCTGGGTGTTTGAAAACGTGGCCTCGATGTTCTCGGGGTGTCCACGTCCCACACTGAATGCTGATTTGAGTTCCTGTTACTTTGGATTCCAGCTTCCTGGCAATGCATGCTGGGAGGCAGGGGGTGATGGCTCCAGGACTGGTGCCCTGGCACTCGCTTGTGAGACCTGGATGGAGTTCCTGGCTCCTGGCTTTTGCCTGGCTCAGCCTTGGCTATTGTGACCATTTGGGGAATGTTGCTCTACTTTTCAAGTTAATGAAAATAAATAAGCAAACTTTAAAAGAATTTTTTTTTTTTTTAAATTGGCTCTCTGCCACCCATATGGAAGGGCAGAATCCAGTCCCGGGTTCCTAGCTAGAGGCTGACTCAGCCCCAACTGTTTCAGACTTTTGGGAACGAACCAGCAGATAGACGAACTTTGTTCTCTTTGTCTTTGTTTCTCTGCTTTTCAAATAAATAATTGTTTTAAAGAAGTGTTTATTTATTTGAAAGGCAGAGTAAAGAAAGTAAGGGAAAGACAGAGATCTCCTATCTGCTGGTTCACTCTCCAAATGCCAGCAACAGCCAAAGGCTAGGTCAGCCAGCAGCTCCATCCTGGCCTCTCCCTCGGGTGGCACGAATTCAAGCACTCCGGCCATCGCCCTCCCTCCTTAGGCACATTCTTAGCATGCTGAATCAGAAGTAGAAAAGAGCTGGGACTTGAACTAGGCACCTTACTTGGAATACAAATGTCTCCAGCAGCAGCTTAGCCTGCTATCCTACAAAATCCACCCAAATAATATTCACGAGAGAGGGGAGAGAGAGAAGGATTCTCCATCAGCCGCTTTGCTTGGACCCTCACCTGCTGCCTCCCAGGGTACACATCAGCAGGAAGCTGGCAGGAGATAGAAGCAAGGCTTGATCCCAGCGACTCTGACACAGGATGTAGGCAGCTCACCATGCTGAGTCCAGAAATAAAACAGATTTGAGAGTCCTCGTGCCTCAGGGAGCCCCACCCTGCCGCACCTCCTGTGCCCCATGCCCCACTGCCCCACCCCCATGCCCTGAACGCCTTTGTGTACCAAAACACAGGGCTGACGCGTACTGCTCCTGTTCGGAATCCAATCCCCCACTAGACTCGGGTGCAGGGAAGGCAGGTGTTCCCCTCTGCTCACCGCTGTGTGTGCAGGTGCCAGCCGAGTGCCCAGCACGGAGGAAAGCTCTACAAATCCTTGTTGAGGGAGGGAGTGACTCCCTTGTCAGCCGCCAGGCAAATGTGTGTGTGTGTGTGTGCGTGTGTGTGTGTGTGTGTGTGTGTGCGCGCACAGTGAGGGGGCTGTGAGCAGGGAGCCCAGGGCCAGAGCTGCTGCCCCTTCTCCTGGACCATGTCCTCTTCCTTTTCCATCACAAGTAGTCAGAGGATAAACAGGGACAAGCGACCAAGAAGACTTTTGCACTGGACTCTTGGCTGCTCTGAATTGCCAACATTTCCAACTTAGGAAAATCCTTCAAAATTCAGAAAAAGGCTCCGGGCTGCCCAGGGCCTGCAGACCCACTCACAGAGCAAGGTGAAGGGTACATGTTTGCACATAGTCAAATGGGCGCTTGGCAGCGGACTCTGTCGTCACAGCCACATCTCTTGTCTCCTGCAGGCTGGCACCTGCTGGCACCTGCTCCTCACTCCCCACTTGCTAAAGCCTTCACATGAGGCAGGGTACACCTGGCATGGTGGGAAAGCAGCCTGAGATGCCCCCGAGCGTAGCCCCTCATGCCCGGCGGGCCCCAGGCTGTAGCTACCTCTAGGCCAGAGTCCAGCTGTTTGCCTGGGTGAGTCTCCAGGCTGCAGTGAGGCAGCTGACGGTTGAGGGATTGGGATTCAGGAAGACCCCTCAGCCCAGCTGGCATTGCTGCAGACCCAGTGGCCACGGGCTTGAGGAAGTTCTTTCTTCAGAACTTCCCCAAGCTGGCAGCTGCCTGGCAAGTTCAAACTGGGTCTTTCCTGCTGCCTTTTCCCTGGCGGCCTCGCCTGGTACAGGGTCTCTGCTAATGAGGATTCAGTGCCAAAGTCCAGTCAGCTCCATCCCGCTGGGTTGCGGCTGGTATGGGCCTGCCCAAGGCGGTGGCGAGCTTCCCAGTCCCACCGGAGCCAGGCCACCTGGGGCCGCTCTGTCCCCTCGCAGCCCTTACCCTGCCTCGGACATGCCCTCCTCCTGTCACTCAGTGTCCTGCTGTGGGTTGGGTGTGTGTGGCGGGGAAGGGAGGGTATGCTGGGCTCAGCCCACCTTCATTCACATTCCTGGGAATGAAAGGCTTCACTCCTGGATGCAGGATCCCTGGACTTTTGTCCAGGTTGCACGGCAGCCAGGCGGAAGCGGGAGGCCTCTCCTGGGACTTGCTCAGGGCCCCCTATTGCCCCTTGCTCAGACCCTCCTGTGGCTGCTGGGGATGCACCTCACGTCCCCTCCTTTCAAAGGCCTCTCTCTGTGTCCCACTTCCTTGGGCCTCATTAATTCCTCCCCACCTCATCCGTGAGAAAGCAGGTCTGTGTTCAGCTTGGCCCGGGCCCAGGGCTGGGTCTGAGCGTGCCACTGGTGGCTTTGGGAGGCAGCATGTGGAAGGGTGGGTTTGGGGAGTCTCACCCTATCCCCTTCCTCATCCCAGGTGAGGAGATGCAGTCTTCTCTCATCCATGTCCTGGTCCCCACTCCACTTTTCATGCACCCAGACAAGAATATGCATCACAACCAGTCTTAAGATGTAGAATATTTATAAAAGGGGCTGCCAACCTCGCCACCCCAGCCCCAGGCTGACCCCTGGGGAGGGATGCGGTAGGCCCCAACCTCTCCCTTTTCCCAGCAGTGGAATGTCAGCTTCAACCCAGGCTGGGCAGGGGGGGAGTCCCAGCCTCCCCGAGGGCTGGTGAAGGGACAGGGCCTTGGAGGTGGGGGTGCCCACACCAGCCCCACTCTGCAGAACCTGGTAAGCCCAGCTCTGGAGTACCTCCAGATGAGGAGGGGATGAACAAAGGAGCCTAGAGGATCCCACAGAACTGAGCCCAGTGTCTGCCCAGGGGACTGGAGGAGGGACCGCAAAGGGGCTGGAGAGATGAGGCCATAGGGCGAAGGTCCAGCCTAGCTACAGCTCTAGGTTCTGGCTTCCTTTGCCCCCCGGAGGCTGGGACCTTAGAAGGTGGCTGCTGGGCCACAGTGTACACATTTGTGCCAGGAAGGATGAGGGTTTAGGCAGGATCTGAGGCCATGGCCCCACCCTGCCCCCAGCTCAGGAAGCCCCTGCCGCTCTAAAGCGCAGCAGGAGGGTAGCCCAGGGGCCTTGGTCCTGGATCCTCAACAAAGACCTTCCACAGAGAGGACATGGGGCGGGGTGAAGGCCACAGTGTTTGCTTTCTGCCTGGTCTTTCTCCCCGCTGCTGGTCACTGCACAAGGGGGTAGGGGTGCTAGGATGTGGAGACACAACAGGATGGGGCCACCCTAGTGGTTTCCTCCGGGCTGTTTGGTCCCCGAGACCCAGTCAATGATGATGAAACTCAGGCTCATGGTCATTAGCAAGAGTCCAAGAAGAGCAAAACAAAGGGCCTGTGGGGGGTCAGAAGGAAAGTTAGGCCCAGGGTGAGGGTGAAGGCGACCCCCAGCCCGGCCTCGCCCCTGGCCCCCCGCAGCGGCCTCACTCACCAGGATTTTGGGAGTGGATCTCACAGGCTCCTTTTCAGTGGGCATGATCCGGAAGTAGAAGACGGCTGGGAAGATGAAGATGAGACAGGGAGCAGACGTAGCACCTGCAGAGAACAAAGCAAGGCCCCCTGTGGCGGGTCCACCGACTGGCTCAGATCTGAGGCTGGACCCTTTGGGACGACTGGCCAGGCCTTCCTTGTTGGGGGAGCTTCCTGTTGAGATGCCACCAGAGAGCCTCTCCCCTGGTTCTCTACCCCCACACCACCTCCGGGAAGTGGAGGGTGGAGCGAGGTGAGGGCTTGGTATGTGAGCTCCTAAGTTCAGCTGCTCCAGCAACGTACCCAGTTCCTGCAGCCGAGGTATCCTTTCTTTTCTTTTCTTTTTTTTTTTCTTTTTCCAAAGATTAATTTTATTACAAAGTTAGATATACAGAGAGGAGGAGAGACAGAGAGGAAGATCTTCTATCCAATGATTCACACCCCAAGTGACCACAATGGCCTGTGCTGTGTCGATCCAAAGCCAGGAGCCAGGAGCTTCTTCCAGGTCTCCCACACTGGTGCAGGGTCAGAAGGCTTTGCGCTGTCCTCAACTGCTTTTCCAGGCCACAAACAGGGAGCTGGATGGGAAGTGGGGCCACCGGGGATTAGAACTGGTGCCCATATGGGATCCTGGTTTGTGCAAGACGAGGACTTTTAGCCACTAGGCCACCGCGCCGGGCCCAATCCTTTCTTCTTGACTCAGATTTTGTGTGCTGGACTGGGAGCCAGGCTCCTGAGTTGAGTTGCCCCTAGAAGGCCCCTAGATTGATTGATAGTCTACCTCTGAGCCCCAGAGGGGACAGGGCCTGGCACAGAACACCACGCCTGGAGGCTGACGATCTTTGCTGACTTAAGGATCTTGCTCTCCAGTGGTGTGGCCCTGCTACTCCTGCTGTCACCCTAAACTCCATTTCCTCATACATGAAATGGGGATAACAGCCTTGGCAGAGGCCCCTGACCTCGAGGTCCACCCTGTGCTTCAGCAAACTGACCTGACTCAGTGGGTGCTCAACCCCCAAGAGCAATTAGAATCGCCTTAACAGGCATCGTTGTATAGCCCACACCAGCATCTCATCAGTGCTGGTTCAGGTCTCAGCTGCTCCACTTCTGATCTAGCTCCCTGCTATTGTTCCTGGGAAGGTAGAGGAGGATGGCCCAAGAGCTTGGGCCCTTGAACCCACATGGGAGTCCCTAAAGAAGCTTTGGGTTCCTGGCTTTTTTTACCTAGTCCAGCCCTGGCCGTTGAAGGTATTTGGGGAGTGAACCAGTGGCTGGAAGATCTCTTTGTGTCTTCTCTCTATATAACTCAATAAACAAACAAAAATCTTGGCAGGGAAGAATGATTATTTTAAGGACAAAAGCTCAGAGGGGAGGCTAAACTACCAGCAGCCATCACTTAAATGTTGGGCATGAACTCAGGAATCTACTGGCATTTGCGGCTGTGAAATTCTCTGGCAGGATACCCCTACTTCCACTCAGGGCCAGACCCTCACCAATGACCCCAAAGATGCCCAGGATGTTGGGGGCAAAGATGACTAGCAGGTTGATACACGTGAGCAGGCCTGTGGCAATGAGTATGTGTCTCAGCCAGTTGAACTCCTGGTCCTGGAACAGCATCTGCTGGATAGCCCGGCGCACCTGGCGTGGTGAAGGAAGACAGAGATTAGCTCAGTTGCCCCTTCAGCCCCACCTCCCCACCTGCCCCTTGGGTCCCACCCCCAGCCCAGCAGCTCACTGGAAAGAGAACGATTGGCACGGTGAGGGTGACAGCCGTCAGCACGGCCACCCGCACGCACAGGATGAGCACGTCGAATGGATCCACCTTGCTGTAGGTGTGCAGCAGCTCTGATTCCACTGCATCTGCCGCAGCCAGGGATGGGGCAGTTAGTGACAGGCTTTGGGGATTGCTGGGGGCGGGTTGGGTGACTCCCAGGGTGTCACTCAGAGCCGCCTCCACTGCCACAGGGCACAGTCAGGCAGCATGCCCCTAGTCAGTGTCTAAGGTATGCATGCAGGGTCCCAGGGCTACAGACCAGTGCCCACCCCCAGCCTGGCCTCTGCCCCATGGTACAGCCATACCGTAGAAGGTGAGGTAGCCAAAGAGGGCGGCCAGGAAGTACATGACGTACATGACCGAGATGGAGAGGTTGGAGATATGCTGCATTTTCTTCTTGGAGGGGCTGTAGGACAGTATGTGACGGACTTAGTGGCAAGCTAGGCCACATCAGGAGACACCCACAGGTATCGGGGTCCCTCTGGTGCCCCATCTCACCGTTCAGTCGCTGAGAGAGCCTCCTTCTTGTCCCCAATCTCCCCTTGTGGAGAGATCTTCCATCAAAGTGACTTGGTCCCAGCAGCCCGGCCTGGCCCTCTCCCCCTTGGTCTCCCCACCTAGAGCCATATCCACGTGCCCCAAAGCGGCTCCAGACAGCCCACACCTCCCTTCTCGACCCAGCACCTACTCTTTGAGCTCGGTGTAGATGGGCAGCACTTCAGGGTGGCAGACGAAGGCGAACGCCATAATGGGGATGGTGTAGGCTGTCTGGGGAAACATGAGGTCGTGTCACGGCGACCCCCACCCTGGGTCCCGTCCCTACCCAGGCCTGCTGGGACCTGTGAGTTGAGCGTGAAGTAGCTTGGGGTACAGAGAGCTGCAGCTTCAGCCTCGCCTGGCAGGTGCACCTTCCCTTCAATCACATCCACGTGGCTGAAATTGCCTGTGACATTGGCTGAGCTGAGGGGCAGCGGACAGGGCACTTGGAACTTTTTGTAGATGACCTGCATGCAAGGAGGAAGGGAAGGGACTGAGGGTCTTAGAGCCAGGCTAGACTGTCTGTGAAGAAGCCGCGAAGCCACATCTAGCTCAGGCCCTCCCTCTGCCAAGGACCCCTGGCGACTGACCGCAATCAGAAAGAACACCATGCAGCTGAGGGAGAAGCCGCTGGAGTAGCCCAGGTAGCCTGTGAAGTGCAAGGGGGGCTGTGAGACTGGAGGTCCGCTGCTCCAGAGCCCGGCAACACGTCTTCTGAGGCTTGTCCCTGCCACACTCACCGAGCTGTCGCATCAGTGCCAGGGGCAGAATGACTGTGACTGAGACCAGGATCACCAGATAGTTCCCATTCAGGTACCAGTCTCTGCAGGGTTGCGGGGAGGGCTGGGTCAGAGCCCACCCAGCCTGAGGAAGGGTCACCTGCCTGTCTCTAGTGGGGTTACCGGGAGTGCCACTGAGTGACTCCCCAACCCCCACAAGAATCTGTGTCTTTCCCCAGCTGCAAAATGGGCATTCATCCAGGACTCCCCGGGGTGATGGGAGGACAAAGGGGGTCCCCTGGAGGCAGCCCACAACTGGGAACCTTAGCATTAAAGTCATTACTAGCTTTCAGGATTGGGCCAGCCTCCTGAGGGTGCCCAGTGGAGGGAACAGGCTCTGAGAGAAGTCATGCTTTTCTCCCTGGAGTCTAAGGGACTTGCCAACAGTCTGTGCTCCTTCTGGTTCTAGCTAGCATCTTCTTGCTTTCTGCTGTCCCCTCCTCTATACCCCTCAGTGGACACAATAAGGTGATAAGGCCATACCGGATGATTGGGAAAGGTCTCTTAGGGCCCCAGGGCACACTCCTGGCTCTGCGTCTGTCCCAGAGCCACTCCTAGCCTCACAGCCCCTTTGCTTGCCCAGGCTGAGCCGAGAAGAGCAAGACCCAGTTGTCCTCACAGAGCACAGTGGGTGTTGGTCAGTGCTGGCTACAATGATAGGCAACTGGGACACCCTGGGCTTAATCTTCTGGAGGTGGAGCTGGCCCCACGGTCAGGAATAGCAGGTGCTTAGAGCTAAGCCTGAGGCGCTTGCGTTGTCTGGCTGGCTCCGGGGCCAGGAGGCAGCATCCTCAGCGTCATACATTCACTCCTGGGGGCTTTTCCCTTAGGTGTTAGGTGCATAGGTACTGATTATTGCCCCTGCTGGCCGCTCTCTGTGCCTCTCCTGGCCTGCCCAGGCTCTCCCACCAGCCCAGGCTGGGCCTCCCTCCCAGCTGCCCTGGCTGGGGGCTCACGAGGTTTTGTCCTCCATGTTCAGAAAAGTCTGGATGACCAAGGGTAGCTCCGACTTGATGATGTACAGGTAGCTGGACATGGCTGCGGGGAGTGGTGTGGGTCAGTCAGGCGAACTGGACCTCAGAGACACCCACCGCCCACCCCAGGGCCTGCCATCCACCCCATCTGCTGTCTTACCTCCAATGTTCTGTAGTGTGATAGCCAGGGCCGCCGCCAGCTTTCCTGGGGTACCGAAAGCGCGGTAGCCCAGCTGCTCATAGGCACGAATGCCTATGGGAACAGGGGGTCAGCACAGCCAAGTGAGCCACTCCCTGCCAGCCCCACCCCTCTCCGGGCCTGGCAGAGACTCACCCACGATCCCTGAGGACTTGAGAAGCAGGTGGATGGAATAGCTGGAGAGTAGGGCAACGGCTGTTAGCAGGAACCTGAGGACAATGGAGGGAAAGAGGCTGTAGGGGCTGCCCTGGTGGGTTGGGGCTGAGGGACTCCAAGAGGCTGCCTGGGGGTGGTCTGGGACTTGAGTGTGTGAACCTCCCAGCAGGCATGGATGCAAGCTCAGTGGGCTTCAGGCCCCGGCTTGGACATGACCCAGAGAGGTCAAGGGTGCCCTTCAAGGGCTTTGTCTCCTGAGCCATTGACACAAATATGTTTTCTCTCTAGGCTGCAGGGCAGGGCCCCCAGGCCAATGACACGTGTGCCCGCACAGGGCCTGGCCACGGGTTTTGACCATCACATGTAACCACAGTGAAAGGACAGACTCGGGCCTGTGCAGTTGGCCCTTGCCGTGACCTCAGAGAGTTTATGGGGCAGACAGCTCTATTTGGCCAGTGGTGTTTTTCCAGCCGTGGTTTGGGCTTGGTGGATGAAGTACCCACCCACTGCGGCCTGGGCTTTGAGATGAGGCGGGGGCAGTGTGGGAGGTGGGGGGGCTGCTGGAAGACCAGGCTCGACAGCTCGCTGAGGGCTCCCCATCTAGGAAGCTTGCAGAGAACACTCACAGGAAAAGGATGATGCCTGTGTTGGCCATGGCGTAGGCGAGCCCCAGGATGCCGCTGCCCATGATGGCATTGCTGAGGTTGAACACCGACATCCCGAACGACGTCTTCCCCTCGAACTGTAGACACCAGGGTGGTGTGGCAAGAGTGGGCAATCAGTCAGTGAGGTTTGGGGGTGTCGCGGTGTGTCCCCCTTGCCTTACCCCAGTCACTGGGACAGGGTGGTGAGGGTGGGCGATCAGTCAGCAAGGCTTGGGGGTTCACAGTGTACTCCCTCTTTTCTGTCCCCCAACTGCCCATTACTACCCCAGGGATGGCACCTGCACCCCTGCTCCCCACCGAGCCTCCCAACCACAGCACGCAGCCCAGCTCACGTCGGTGAAGTGCGGCTCCTTGCCAGAGCTTTTCTGTAGGAAGCCCTTGCCCTCAGTACAGCCTTGTCCAGGGTCCTCGGCCCTGTGGGCACAGCCAGGACAGGCAGCTCAGCTCTAGCCCCTTGTGCTTCTTGGCCTGTCCTGCCCCAGTCCCCCTGTTGCACTCACCGTTGGTGCACAGCTGCAGGTGAGCTGGCAGGGAGCAGCCCCTCCGAGGGCTTGCCATTGGGCACCAGCTCTACCATCTCGGTCTGCAGAGATGTCTCCATGACTCAGGCCCCACCGCCAGCAGCTCTGCTCTCACACCCACCGTCAGGTATCTGCGGGAGCAGTCAGTCCCTCTGGTCATCTGCCTGCTCCAGCCCACAGCCCTCAGGGGGTTACTCCGAACACTCAGGTACAAGGTGGTCCACCTGCTGCCTCTTTAAGGATGTGCCTTTCAGAGGAGCTAAGCCCAGACAGCTAAGCTACCCTGGTATTTCTGCCAGGATATAACACACACACACACACACACACACACACACACACACACACACACACACACAGCCCAAATGGGCCCTCAGGTTCCCCGTGTGTGCACTGAGGGTCACCTGAGGCCACGCCCCCTGGCATCAGGCCCCCAGCCCTGACAGCGGGTATACACTCTGGATGGGCTCTCCACCTTGACGTGAGTCCTGGGAGTCAGCTTCCTGCACTGGCCTTGTGTGCCAGGGGCCTCCTGGCCAACCTAGAATGGCAGTGCCCGACGGCTGGAGGCCTCGGGAGAGGGTGAGGGCTGTGGGCCCTGTTCCCAGCCGCCCGGCGGGCACTGTTGGCAGCCAGAACAAAGGGCCCTCTATGGGCTGGGAGCTGGCGCTGGGAACGGCAGGCGCAGAGGCTGCCCCCTCCCACCCCTCCTGCCGGAGCCAGGAGGACTAAGGCGGCACTGGGTGGCTTGGACACCTGGGCCCTTCCCTGCTGACCATGGCAATGGGCCCTTCAGGCCCTTCCAGGAAATGGGCACTCTAGTGCCCAGTTCTCTGAGCCACACAGGCCTCATTCCCCACCCAACCCTGCTCTCCTTCAATATTCACCTCCTCTGCCAGGGAGCCCTCAGGTGCCCACCACCCAGGGATGACCCCTCCAGCCAGAGACCCTGCTCCCCAGGGCAACAGGTCCAGGGTGCGTGGCCTTGGCCAGCTGCAAAGCGACACGTTACCCAGGCAACACCCTGGCCCCTCGCCCATTGCTAGGGCCAGGAGTTGGCCACCTCATGCCCGGAAGATGCTGGGCGTTGTGCCCCTAGGGCCTTAAGGACATCTTGAAGGCCAGATGGGCTGGCAGGCTGGTGGGCAGGCTGAGGCCAAGCCAGGACTGGGGAGGACAACATGGCCAGGCAGGGCCTTTAGACCTTAGTCCTGAGGCTGGGGGCCCCACATCCTATCTGACCCCCATCCCCACTCCAGACCTCAGTTTGTCCTTGAATCTGGCTCCAACTGAGCAGCCCTGGCTCAGGGTGAATGGGGGTGGGTGGGCTCAGGCCTTAGGGAGGTGGCAGTCGCTTCCCCTACTTCTTCCTAGGCCCGAGTTTTGACTCTGGGCACCTCCACCCTGAACACCCTATACTGGGCATTCTCCCACCTCTCAAACATGTCCATGCTTCCTCTAATGCCAGCCCTGCTTACTCAGGACTGTGACCATGCTAACCTCTCATCAGCCTCCTTCCTGTAGGCCAGTGTGGTTTCATGCTCCTGTCCTAAGCCATCCTATCAGCACCATCCCATGGAGCCTTATACCACTGGGCATGGAGGTACCTGGACCCGCTTTCAGAGTTACTCCAATGTGAGTCCTGGCACTAAGCTGGGGTTGCCCTCACCCAGCCCCCTAGCCTTGGGCAAGCTGGGGCAAGCCCTTGGAGTACGCTGAGTCAGCAGCTTGGACAAAGCATCCTTCTCTGCCTTAATGATTGAGGCCCCCCGGGGCCTGCCTGGGCTGGTGTGTCTAGAGGTGCCAAGGTGTCCATCAGGACCCCAGACACCACCCACTTGCCTCCAGTCAGACCACGGGAAGTGTATGGGGTGCTGGCCCAGGTTTTTCCCCAGGCATCCTTCAGGTCAGGGGCCTAGACCCTGGGAGCCTGGTGGCTAACACTGACGCCCAAGCAGTCTTGGCTGCATTTCTGGTTGGCCTGAGATCATGGAATACACCTGGCCCACACCTCACAGCTCCTGCTACAACTGAGTGTGAGCCATGCGGTATCGAGACTCAAACAAAGGGTGGGCAGGCATTTAGTGCGGCAGTTAGGACACCTCTTGGGATGACACTGTCTGATAATGGAGCACTTGGACTTGGGTCCTGGCTCTGCTCTTAAATCCAGCTTCCTGCTAATACACAAGCCAGCCTGGGCTGTCATAGGCGTTTGAGGAATGAATATACAGGCACAGACACAGGGGCTGTTGGTTCACTCCCTAAATGTCCACTACAGCCAGGCCTGGGCCAGACCCAAACCAGGAGCCCAGAGCTCACTCTGGGTATCCCCACATGGTTAGCAGGGATCCAGCACCAGCTGCTCCCCTGCGTACACATTAACAGAGCTGGATTCAGGAGTAAAGTAGCTGGGATTTGAACCAGGCATTCCAATATAGATGCAGGCAACCCAAGAAGTGACTTAATCACTGTACCAAACACTTGACATCACAAATATTTTTAAGAAGAAGAGCTGGCACTGTAGTACAGTAGCCTAAGCCTGCACCAGCAGCACCAGCATCCTGTATGGGTGCCAGTTCCCAGCTTGTTCCACTTCTCTTCTAGTTCCCTGTTTGTGATCTGGAAAAGCTGCAGAGAATGGCTCAAGGCCTTGGATCTCTGTATCCAAGGAGGAGACCAAGAAGAAGTTCCTGGCTCCCGGTCTCAGATTGGCCCAGCTCCAGTCATTGCGGCTATTTGAGGAGCGAGCCAGCAAATGGAAGATCTCTCTGTTTGCTTTTCTATATAACTCTGCCTTTCCTATAAAAGTCAACTTACAAAGTAAATGAAGATGGGGGAGGGAGGGAGGCATGAAGGCAAGCTTTCTAGAGGTGATACAATCCCAACAGGCATCCCTGAGGCATTGAGCAGGCAAGAAAACGCAAGGCAGGAGGCACAGCTTGAGCAAAGGTCTTGTGGAATGGCACAAAGACGACTTAAGGATGAGATGCAAGTTTTGTGACAGCAAATGCACAAAAAGACTGGCCAAGTCAAGGAGCCTGAACTTTGCTGTAGGGCTGGGCTGGGGCCCAAGGAGGGGCTGACACCGGCCTAGTCCGTGGGTCTCTGGCCGTTGCTGGGGCCACCAGCCTTTTCAGAGAAGCTCCCCTCTCTCAGCCTTGTGTCTCCCCAGGCTCCTCCATAGCAGGTGTTACGGCCCACTGGGAGAAGCTCCTGCCCGCTGGATTTGCCAGCCAATCCTGGCCACGATGGGGAAGCCCAGGGGAGAGAGGGACTGCAAAGTCCCCAGTCCTGCTTCTGGGTGGGTATTTCCTACTCAGCACCTCTGTGTCCCCCAACATCTCGGGACTCCCTGGGGCTCGGCCAAAGCCAGGGAGAGAGTGAGGAGTCTTCCCCGGACCTTCACACTCCCAGAAAAGACCACGGTGCCCACAGAAGGGTCAGGTTCCGGGATGGAGAGCCGGTCATGACCTTGGGCAAGTCATCAGAGTGGCATCTGTCACTGACCAGGCCACTGCCCTGGGGCCTGTTTGCTTTTCGGAAAGATAAAGGCCAGGGGCCCCAGGGGCCGCGCAGCAGGCAGCGCCTGCCCACGCGGGCGTCACAGGGTGAGAATTCGTCAGGCACACTCGTGCAGGTGTTGAGTTTGGCTAATTAAAGATTCTGAGGCTGGGGAATCCAGGCCACTCAGAGCTGGCTGTCTGCACCAGCAGCTGCGGGAAGCACACCTTTCTATTGCGGGACCATAGCCCTGCTGGGGCCCGAGCTCTAAGCCCTCCCCCACACTCAGGGACTCAGCAGGCCTGCAGCAGTGGACAGCTTCAGGGACACGGTCCTTCCTGCGGCCACATGCTCCAGTGGAGCACATGGAGCCAACAGCTATGGCCCAGGCTGCCTGAGCCTGGCTTGGGAGAGTCACTGTAGTTATTTGGAAGCTTTGGGAGTAAGGCCTGTCCTCAGCTCCAGTTCAGTCTGTCCCTACCATCTCCCTTTCCCTTGGTTTGGCACTCATCTGAACTGTTATCCCTCAGTGTACCTGCTTCTCCAGGCTTCGGAGTCAGGGAGACTCTGGCTACTAGGACAAGCTCTCAGCCAGGGGTGGTAGCGCACATACCTGGCACCTCTGAATTATGTATGGACAATGCACGGGCATAGGCACCTGACTGCTGAGCTCAGAGCTCAGGGGGGAGGGCAGGCGGGAGATGCTGGGACGGTGCAGGCACTCAGAGACCCTCATGCTCTTCTCCCAGGCCCACCACTTCAGATTGTGAACCCAGTAGATGCTAGTCCTTCCTCACTACCACCATATAGCACCCTGATGCAACAGACAGCCAGTGTGAGAGCACCCCTGGGCTGGGGCTCAGGGTTCACACGCATGAGGGGGCACAGTTTGGGAAGAGCAAACGGCTCTATCAGCCACACATACTCTCCTGCCCCAGGTTCCCTTGGCTCTGGCAGCTGGGGTTGGGGCCTCTGTGTCCTGGGCATTGAGAGGATGGGACACAGCGGGGGGCCGGAAGGCGGGCTTTCCTGTGGCGGGGTGCATTATATAGACACACAACAGAAGTAGAGAAGCTCCGGCCTTAGCCACCTCAGGCGTCCTCGCACCCACCCAGCCCCTGGCTCAGGGGGACTTCGGACGGGGACTCCAGTGGACTTTAGAAGGGGACTGCAGTGGCAGGTTGACACTAGAACCTTTTGGATCAAGGCTGGGCCGAAGCCAGGAGCGGCTCCCCCTTCTGTCCACCGCTAGCCTGCTGAGAGGGATGGGCTGCTGAGGCAAAGGCCAGGACATCACGTGACTGTGCCCCCACTTCGCCCCCAGGGGCAGGGGGAGACCCTGCACCAGCCAGCCCATCTTCCTCCCCGCTGACCCGGAATCCCCTGGAGGCAGCCAAATATTTGGACAGCCGGACTTCTGGCCCCATAGAAAGCTGGAGCGTGGGCCTCAGGCAGTTCAGGACTTCTTGGAGACCCCCACGGGGGGGGGGGGGGGGTTAAGGCTAAGCCAGGCTGGAGGAGGGGCGATATTGGCTGTCTGAAAGAAGCAGCGATGGGCAGAAGAAAGGAAGGGAGAGAGTAT